CTTATCGCCTGAAGAAGACTAGCAGTAAGCAGTCGAAACGTCGCGATCTACATCTCAAGTGACTACATCGTGAGACAAACGATAATACACCTTATTATTAAAATATTTTCCAGTTAACGCATTTGAACTGTTGGTCACACTTAGAATTCAATTTCAGATCGAGAAACACTTGTAACAAATATTTCTTGAGGAAATAAAGTTTTGACCAGCGACCCTGCAAGACAGCGCGTCGCCAAATGTTTTTAAATTTTGTGTTTGTATTTGTTTACTTTACTCGAATTTACATCTTGTTTTTACAAATGAAAAAGGTGAACCATTCTGAACACAAAACACGACCTTTTGGCGAGTTACGCAACACGGAAAGTTTGTTTTTTTGACAAACAATTATGGCCAAAACGAATTTGCTGAGCTACAAATCGAAAAATTTATTTTCTGATCACAGAAAATTTGCCGAGCTACACGGAAATTTGCCGAACTAACGAGCTTACCACAACTCCTGGTCATCTGCCGTCGCCGAGCTACAAAACATTCTTTCCTGATGACGCAGGCCTTAGTTACTTGTTGTCGAAGGCCAGCGGGTCAAAATATAAGTAGCTTTGCTGAAATCATACACACTTCGAAACTATACGGCGAATTAACAAATTGACGTCAGTTTTTTTGTGTGTCTGTCCTCTTAGTGATGATAAATTGCGTCATAACATTGTCAAAGTGGCTGTGGAACCACAAGCCGCAGGCGAGTGGTTCCACAGTAAACTTTGACAATGTTATGACGAAATTTATCATCAATAAGAGGACAGACGCATAAAAAACGGACGTCAATTTGTTTTTTTACAATAGTAAGACCCCAAAATTGTCACGATCAAATGCTGGGAATAAATGAGGGGAAAAGACGCCGTAAACTTGCCGTGAACAAAGATGAATGAAATTTATTGAAAATGACGCGAACATTGTCGATAGCTTTCTCGCTTTTTGATTGCCTGGTGGGGGAGGGAGGGGGGGCACTGCCTGCTTAAAAAAGTCCATAAAATCTCATTGGTTAAAAAGTTGACAGTTCGACTGCTGAAAGTTGAACTTGAAAGCTTGCATAAATTAAAATTTTATCCGTCTGTACTCTTGTTCATGATGAAAATGAGCCAATCAGCGCGCTAGAAATTAGACAGTTATTGTTAAATATGACTGCGTGCATGCGCTTATGATGTAATTTGCCCCTGCTGTGGGGGGCCAAATCGTTGAACAAATCCGTCCCAAAAAATCTCAGTACAGACTGGATTAGGATTGGGTTACAGTACGTGAACGCAATGATNGGGGGGGGGGGTGCAAATCGGCGAGCAAATCCGTAAGAAAAATTCTCGATACAAACTGGATTAGGATTGCGTTACACTACTTGAACGCAATTATTGTATGCTCCTGGTATAAGTAGCCGTGGTTACGCTAACATACACTGACATCGCCTCAAAAGCAAAAATGTTCTCGATATTGTTTCCCCGTCATGCACCTACTGCGCTCGCAGACAACATACCGCTGCCTAGTGCCGCGATGATTGCTTTACAAATTGTAAGATGGCAGCTCTATTTCATAATAAGTCGTTTAGCTCTTCCCCACCCCAGTCCTCCCTGGTTGGATTATTTGAAAACTATACTATACGGTGAAGTGATCAGTTTAAATGAGACAAACAAATATAACTTTCACAAATCCAGGTTGGTTTTGATCCTAAATCTCAAGTCTCAAAAGTTCGACCGAATACCTAAATCATTTAAATCAAACCTCTACTAACGGCGAATATTTTATTCAAATCAGTTTCCGTTTTTTAAACATTCTTTTTTTTTTTGGATTATTTTTTTGGAAAAATTTTCAAGTTGTGCCTGTAGCGAAAAAAAGTTATTAAAACATGGAAAATGGAAAATGGTATTTTGGAGAGAATTTAAATATGGACTGAAAGTAATTGAAATATTTTGGAAGTTGCATCCTCTGACCTTCATGTAAAATCACATTTGCCAGAAGGTTCGAAACTACTTTAAGTTGAAGTTATTCTCACTTTTTAAACGCTACACGTTTTAGCCGTTTGACAGAAAATTCCTTTCTACCAGTACTTCACAGTGTTTTCTAGCGCAAGGCTTTATCAAAACTGACTTTATCATTTCGCGTCACTGGTGATCTCATCTAGTGAAATTGCCTCCAGCCAATGGTGGAAAATTGTTCGCAAACGTTAACCACCGAATCTTCCGTCGTGTTAGCATCGTTCAATGGCTTTTCTGGTATTTCAACTACAGTTGGTAACTCGATTATTCTTCTGACATTGTATAAAACACCTACTCTCCAGACGGTCTCGAACTATTTTGTTGGCTCGCTGGCTTGCGCCGATCTCTTTGTGGGTCTATTTGCCAACTCGTTGTACGTGGCGCTAAGTGGTTTCGTTTCTCTTCAAGAAATTCAAGAGCTAAAGAACGCTGAAACTTTTATCTGGTTGTTCACGACAACTATTACGACGTTTAGTTTGTGTTTCGTCGCAATAGATCGTTATGTGGCGATTATTCGGCCTCTACTGTATCCACAGATTATGACAAGAAACCGATCCTTCCTGGCGACCATCTGCATATGGATCTTCGCTGTACTATTCGCAGCCATCAGTTTTTGTCTTCCGTACAACGACTTGCCGAAGCTGTGGATAATTGGTTCTTTTGTGACCTTTTTCCTTCCTTTAGGTGTACTCGTATTCTGCTATTGCCGCATTTACCTGGCTGCAAAGGAACAAAATTCGCGGTGGAAAACAAGACAGCCCACTTTCGATGGCTCGACTCGATCTGTCGATGAGTTGAAGAATACAAAAGCAGCTTTGACATTTGCAATCATAACTGGGCTTTTTGCTGCATTGTTTCTGCCAACGCTAGCTGTAAACTTTGTTGGAATAGCCTTACAAAGACATTGCCATAGAATATGGCTCAATATAGCATGGTTTTGGGCGGCAGCTCTGTCATACACTTCGTCGACTATAAACCCTTGGATCTACGCCATTAGAATGGCAAATTTCAAAAAGGCTTTAAGACAGCTACTGTCGAAGACACCAAATTCAAAAAGCAAAATCAAACCGAATAACGTCCTACCGCGTCTTAGAGCCTTTAGGCGAGTGTGTATACCAAGAGAATTCAAGTAACTCGTGGGATATTTCATAGTATACCACTCGAAAGCGTTGCATAATTAGTATGTACTGAGGGAACATCAAGAGATAAATTCTGGGATGTAAAGACAAATTAAAAACTCTGTTATGCGACATTCACGACACTGATATTTTATTACCAATGGAGGAGACGAAAATCAAATGTCCCATTAATTGACATGTATTGTAGCTTTGTCTTCAAGCGATTTATTGTCTTCGGGGGACATTGTAAAGTTTACGAGTCGCTCTTTCGAAGGACGTTTTAAAATATTTTAGGCGTAAAGGATGCTGGGTAATAAAGAGCATAAGATAGTTGAGTGAAGCATGGCGTGCTCAAATGTTGTTCAAATGTTGTTGTTTATAGTGGTCAATGCGCTTAGCTACACCTAGCTAGTTCACAGGAATGCCACTAAACTGACAGAAACAAATATATCAACTAAACAAATTGGCTTAAAAATCCCAACTGGTGGAAGGGCAAGTTGGCTATTTACAAGCAAGACCGGGGAATTGAACTAGGGTCTACCGACAAACAACTCCAGCTGAGTGGTCAGAGCGGGACTTAAACCGGTGACCTCCGAATTTCAAGTCCGGCGCCCTAACCACTCGGCCACGTTCCTCCACTTTGACGGTAAGGTCAGAAGTGAAACGACATCGAGCCGGTATCCGGTCAGAGATCTAGCACCAGAACAATAAATGAAGTAAAATCTTTCATTTGTTCAGACAGTTATCTTCTTAACATTATGAATATGATGATGAGTAAAACATAAGATGTTGCGCAACACATTTCATTATAAGTACTGAATAGCCGGGGACACATGAGAGAAACAGTATCGAGACATTATCCACGGAGCACAGAGATAATCTGGTTTAAGAGTTGCAAAATAATGAGATGGACATTCACTTTGGATCTATTTTGGTTTTAACTACAGTCGAACCTCTACTAACGGCCACTTCATATTTTCGAGCCAGTT